TACATCATTCTGAGGAAAAAAATTAAGGTTACATTTAGGATTGTTAAGAAGCAAATTGACAAATGACTTTGTTTTTCATGTTTATTTTGTTTTGTTTTTTGTCTTTTTTGAGCAAAAAAAAAAAAAAAAAAAGAAAAAATAGTTCTCAATAATGGATTTTTGTTAGGCCTTTTGGCTTACATTTTTTTTCGGCTCTTTTTTTAGTTTTTTTTTTTCTGAAAGATTCATCAGAAATGTATAAGTAATCCTACTTGAAACGAGTAAGAATTGAACTTTTAGCCAAGATTAATGTTTAATATTTCAAAAATTTCATCTCTTCATGACAATAACAAATTTTCTTCCTTTTTTTTTTTACTTTCCAAAAAAAGAAAGAAACTCTATGGAATTGAAAATCATGTTTACTGAAAAAAAGTAAATAAACAAGTAAACAAATAAATAAATAAATAATGCAATGTAAGGGAGGAATCAAATGGCTTTATCATGCAATCAATATTCAGAAAATTTCAATGTAGCTATCAATTATCATCAAAATATGAAAAGAATCATTTCTAGGAGGGAAAAAAAAAAAACGAATTAGAATTGGATACGGTAAAAAAATAAAGGAAAAAAAAAGGTGAAAATTTCATGATAATATAAACTGTGCAATTAATCAAAATATTTCCTTTTAATCTTATTTAACATGATGGATTTTAATGCTTTTACAATTAATGGTGTAAACATGGATTGCATGATGCATTTTCCACAAAATTCCGGAAGCGAAATTTAATTAATTAATTGCTAATTGTTGTTTATTCCATATACTTACGTCAATTTCCATTCATCCTATTTGAATTATTTTGTAGCTTTTATTTTATTCTAAAATCTTCCACTTCTTATCCTTATCATGTTTAAATTTATCAAATTTTTTTTTTTTTTTAAATGTTCAAGCTGTAGTTTAAAAGTGGGATGAGGGAAGGGGGAGGGAGGGGGGAGGGGGGGGGAGGAGGAGAAAAAGGAAAGAAGGAAGAACGAAAAATTATATTTGCAATTTTGACATCTTTCATTATTAAAACTTGATCATATTATAATGAATGTTTAATATTTGCAATAACTTTATTGAAAATAATAACAAAAGTTTTCTTTTTTCCCAAAACATTGACTTTTTTTTTCTTCCTTAAATAATTTTTCAGATTTTAATAATTTGATTTTAGTAAATCCAAAAATTTTTAATAATTTCATATATTAAATAATTCATATGTGATAAATGATATCATTTCTAGGAATGAAATGTATACGCTTAATATGAAACCCATTATTATATATTTTAAAACTTGGCATATCATCGATATTTCTCGATTTATCTCAAGGATTCATTTATTCATTCATGCATGCATTCATTCATTCATTTATATTTATTCATTCATTCATTTATTCATTCATTCATTCATTCATTCATTGATTTGTGTACATCTTTTTAGACTAAGTAAGCTCTTCCCAAATCGATTTTAATTTCTTTCACTTCATATTACCCTATTTAGTAATGTGAAACACACTCATCATCATTTATTTCCACTAATTTTTCGTACTATTTTAGCAACTGAAGAAATTTAATTTAAAAACTTATATTACTACAATTAGTATTAATACTACTGGATTACTTAAATTTGAAAGAGGCTTTTTTTTTTTAATCGCTTTCTATCTAATTTTTTTTCCCAAACAATTTGCAATAGTAACAATAATATTGCTATTAAAAATTTGAAATTCAAATATTTTGCATTTATCATGAATAGATCCATGTATATATATATCGAAAAATACTGGATAAATTTTATTTACATGATGTTAAGGCTTTTTTTTTCTCTTTTTCCTTTTTTTTTTTTTTTTAGTAAAATGCTAATAACTAAAATGTACAACTTTAAGTTTAAATTTTTACATATTAAAGTTAAATTTCCCACAATTTGTTTTTCCTTTCTTTTCCCCTTTTTTTTTCTTATTGTCTCAAAATTTGTTGATTTTATAAAAGACAAATTAATCATAAATGGGTAATAAATAATTGAATAACTTCTTATATGGGTCATTTATTTGAAAAAGTTTTGTTACTATGCAATCAGGTATTTACTCATTAACTAAATTTCATTTCAATTCAGGCGTTTACTCATCAATCAAATTTCATTTCAGTTTTCTTTTATTTTATTGAAGTATTCCATTTTTGTATAATGTTTGTTCTTTTCCTTTTTCTCCATCCTCATTTTAAATTGTTTTATTTAAAAAAGGAAAAGAAAAAAAACTCTAAAGGAAGTAAATTGAAGCATTTTCAAACTTTCCTCCTCATTCATTTTATCATTTAACTGAAATGAAATTTCATGCTGGAAATTTAACAAAAATGAAAAGTTTATGATGTGGAGTGGAGCATTTCTTCCTATTTTCGTTAAATTTTATCTTTTCTTTTTTTTCAAATCTTTAAAATTTTTTTTTTGTTTTATTGAAAGATTTGTTAAGAATACACTTCCACTTGGCAATAAATTTAATTCATTTGAAAAGTTTTGCTTCATTTTTTTGTGTTTTTTTTCTCTTTTTAGTTTTTCATCAAAATATTGAAAGCATATGCGTAAACTTCATTTTTGCATCAATTTTAGCAAACTATCAATGTCTTTTACAACAAATTTTCAATTTATCGATTGATAATATTTTAAACTATCACTAAAAAGAAAGAAAATGTTTATATTTTCTGGATAGCACTTTTAAAGCTATTCATGATTAGCTGGTCCAAGAAAAGAGGGGGGGGGGGGGAGGCGGAAAAAAAAATGCTTTTCCATGCTATAACATCCATTTCAATTCATTCATTTAGGATAGGATTTATTTGTTTCAAGTTTGTAAAATTGTTGAAATTTTTCAATTTGACTATGAATTTTCTTGTGGATAGTTTAATTAAGTCGTCGCTTTTGAGGACTTAATTCGGTCTTGTAATGCCTCTTTTAAATTCTCATTTAATTTCAATTCTTTTTACATATTTCTTGTTTTCTTCATTTATGAAATATAAATATGCATATATCTGTTACTGATTCATTTGATGTTGAACGAGTTGGTAAAGAAAAAAATAGTGATAGCAAAAATATGATTTGATAACTTTTTTTGTGCCGTCTATTTTTTTTTTTTTGTCTTTTATTTTTGTATTTTCCTT